AGGGAGGAACTGAGATGATAGATATGAAAGCTTTTGAAAATTATGGAATAGAGGCATGAGAATTGTTTATCCAATTTGATTTAACCAACATCTGTAGATTATGAGCAAAGCCAGAAGGGTGATTCAAGGGAGATACACCTGGCACATGTTAAAGGCTTAGTGTATGGGTTGTAAAAAGACAGAGAGATCACAAATAAAAAGCTCTTTTCTTGCAGAGGTTACAATCACCCGAGGGGCTATTGAGATGAGAGTCACAGCTTCTGATCCAGGAAGATTTATGAGGTCTCAGGATGTTCCTATCTTGTGAAATTTTAAAGCTGAACTGGATCTATAATCGGGTACTTACTCATCCTATATTTGGGGAGACTGAGATCCAGAGAGGAACTGGATTTTCTGTTGTCACATCATGATTTTGGAGGCAGAGAGGAGATCAGTATGTTCCTTCTGTTGTCCAAATCATGTTTTTGGCTCCCAGACACTATTTAAAAAAAATACATTTTATTGATTTTTTTACAGAGAGGAAGGGAGAGGTATAGAGGGTTAGAAACATCGATCAGCTGCCTCCTGCACAGCCCCTACTGGGGATGTGCCTGCAACCAAGGTACATGCCTTTGACTGGAATCGAACCTGGGACCCTTCAGTCAGCAGGCTGACACTTTATCCACTGAGCCAAACCAGTCCGGGCTCAGACACTATTTTTCATTGTGGTAAAATACACATAACATTAAAATTTACCATCTTAATCATTTTTAAATGTACCGTTTAGTCATGTTAGTGACATTCACATTGTTTTGCAACCTATTCTAGAACTCTTTTCATTTTGCAAAACTGAAACTATAGTCATTAAACAATTCCCTATGCTCCCATGCCCCCAACCCTTGGCAACCATTATCCTACTTTCTGTATCTGTGAATTTTACTATTCTACCCTATTTCCCCCAAAATAAGACAGTGTCTTATATTAATTTTTGCTCCCAAAGTTGTGCTAGGTCTTATTTTCAGGGGGTGCCTTATTTTTCCATGAAGAAGAACACGGTACACATTTATTGTTAAATGAAAATAAAGGAAATTTATTACCTGTATATGGTACGGTAGTACGGTAGTTGTCAACACAAACCAGACAAACTATCATTTCTACAGTATCAAGAATTTACTCATTTATTCAATGACAATCATGTCATTGTCTTCTGGAACATCATCATAACAATCCAATTCCTGAATTTCCTGGTGAATTTCTTATGACGCCATTTCTTTCAGAATCAGTGGACCAAATCTCTCATGTTTAGCCTAGGGGGGGACCCTTATTTTTGGGGGGATGCCTTATATTTCACTCAGAAGGAAACCTATAAGTAGGTCTTATTTTCGGAGGATGTCTTATTTTCGGGGAAATACGGTAGTTATCTTGTATAATTGGAATCACATAGTATCTGTCTTTTGTGATTGGCTTATTTCATTTAGCATAATGTCCTGAAGGTTCATCCATATAGTAGCATGTAGAATTTCCTTCTTTTTAAAGGCTGAATAATATTCTATTGTATGTATATATAATGTTTTAAGAATCCATTCATCTCTCTGTAGGCACTTGGGTTGCTTCTATCCATACCTCTTGTCTCATAGCTGCTATGAACATGGGTATACAAATTTCTTTTTGAGACCTTGTTTTTAATTTATTGGGCATTATATGCATAGAAATGGAGTTATTGGATCATATGTTAATTCTATTTTTTTAAAGAAATGCAACAGGTTCTAAAAGATTCAAGATATTGATGTGAAATGGTAACAGACCCTTACTTCCTGCCTCTAGGCTCTTTGTACCAAATGGGTTATGGGCCCATAACCCCAAAGAAATCATGTGGCAGCTAAGAGAAATGATGCGGTTGAATTTAAAGGAAGTTGTAAGCATGCTTTCCTTTCCTTTATTATTCTGTGTTCTCTTAGACAAATGAGTGAACAGGCAGATGGGTTTGCTTACACAGATGTGACAAACTAGCAGTCTGAGTGTTTCAGGCTGCAGATGTGTTTTGTGTGGCTTACACGTTTAAAAAGTAGTTGCTATGGATAGAATTGGAGAACATCATGCTGAGTGAAATAAGCCAGTCAATGAAAGAGAAACACCACAAGACCTCACTCAATTATGGATAATAAAGAACATTATAAACTGATGAACCAAAAGATAGATATAGAGACAGTAAAGCAACAAGTAGACTGTCAAACTAAACAAGTAGGGTAGGGAGATCTGGGGGAGATAATAGATCAACCGAAGGACTTGTATACATGCATATAAGTACAACCAATGGACACAAAACTCTGGGGAGGGAGGAAATGTATGGGAGGGGGGGCAATGTTGAAATATGTACACAGATAATAATTTAATAATAATAAAAATAAATAAAAAGGAGTTGCTAATACTAAAAAAAAGGGGGGGGGATATAAAAAATCTGGTTTTTCATGTTTTCTTAAAGATGATCCAACAATACTGAGTCTACCTTCCTGCCTGCTTTCCTATGTGCCCCGATCTTCACCACTTCCTATACTCTCACCTACTTCTCTCAATTTTGTTACCTATCTGCCTGCTTTTCCATTTGAGTTTAAGATCCTGGCTCAGAGAATAGGTCTACTAGAACCTAGGTCAGGGGCAGTTTCTCAGCACATATTTGTTACACAATAAATATGTGATTGATCTTATGAGTTAACTCATGTCAACTTACTATGTGCAGGGCCCATGAATGCATCCTTTTCCTCAGAAATGAATAAGACACAGCCCTTGAACTCTGAAAACTTACAATCCTATGGGTTAGGGCAGTGGCCAGCAAACTCATTAGTCAACAGAGTGGCAAACGGTGGCTCACGAGCCAGTTTGCCGACCACTGGGTTAGGGGGAAGCAGACATGTGTATGGCTCAATTCTGAATTAGAGGGAGTGGTCAGAGTTAAGAGTTTCAGAAAAGGAGACCTTGAACTCTATGAGAGGCCAGCTATAGGAGGAGTTGGGAAGGAGTGTTTCAGACAGAAGCAACAGCAGATACAAATGTTAAGTTCTATGTGTTTGAGGAACTTAAACAAGGTCAGTGTGACTGGAGCTTGGGGAGAGTGGTAGTAGATGACGTTAGACATGTATTTTTATATCAACAATCTAACCCTTAAGCCAGGCAGCTGTTGGGCAAATCCCTGTTCCAGGTTTGGTGGGCTTGCTCAGAACAGGTAGTTAGCTTAGCACTGTCAGTCAGAGGAGGGACTGGGCCTAATTCCTCCCCCTGCCTCCGGTGCCAAGGACAGGGTAGGGCACAGAACAGGTTTCTGTAAAGATTTGCTGACAAGCATACTTGAGAAGAGAACAGGAAGTGCAGGCTCTGTTAAAGGAGGCCCAGGAGTAGCTCTCCCTTCACTGGGGCACTCATTCTCAGGTCCATAACACTTCCTTCAAGTGATAAAAAGAGCTGGGAGTGTGAGGTGCGGGCAAGAACCAGCTACAGGCCCTACTCGCAAAAACCTCAAAGGGAAGGGGACTTAGGAGGCAGATAGGAAAGTTAAGGGAAGGCATCCTACTTAGCTTGGATGAGGCGGGGAGGGGTCTGGAAGGCAGATTGGGCTCCTTAGCCGAGACTTAAGGCAATATTACCTTTAAGTAGATTGGACTTTTCCTTTTTCTGGCAGTCCCTAATGGGCCTCCCCTGGGGCGGGTCTTTGCTTTACTCCCCAACCCTCTCTCTGCAAAGGGGTAGGGCCTTCCAGGAGCTCGTGCTCTACCGGCAGTACCCAGATTTACCCGCCAGGGGCCGCTGCACACGGGTGACGAAGCGCGCGGGTTCCTAAGCTGCAGAGAGGCGGAAGCCGATTGGCAGCGAGGCGCGGGGGAGGGCGGGGCGTAGAAAGCCGGCTCTGAGTAGGGGGGCTGGGAGCGCACCCCAGGCCGAACCGGAGTGGCCGTTGTCGCCTTCAGCAGCCCCGGGCGGCAGTCTCTGTGCCGCGGGCCTCTGTCCAGCCCGGCTCGAGAGCTGCGGCGAGTGGAGCAGCACTGAGGCCCGGAGATCCGGGCAGGGGGGCAGCTCCTGCCACCGCCGTAGGCCTGGGTTACCTGAGCCACTGCGTGTCAGGCGCCCGCCCGCGGACGGTTAGCGCGGGAGAGGCTCCGGTCGGGGAAAGAGGGGTCCCAGCGGAGGCGAGCGCGGGCCGGGGGCCAGGGGGTTAGGTAGGGGCGCCCGGTGGGTGCCCCCAACAGCCGATTCCGGGATAAACGGGGCGCAGGGGCGGGCCGGGCTGCGCAGGGGGCCGGGCGGCGCGGGGCGGGCCGGTGGAGAGCACGCCCCCGTCCGCAGGGCCCGCCCCGCCCCGCGCCGCCCGCCCGTCCGCCTCCCGGGAGCCGCTGTCCCGGGCCCGGCCCGTGCGCGTCCGCCTGCTGAACCTGGGCTCCGCCGGCCGCCTGGGCACGGGACCGGGCGGGGGCGCTGACCTCGGCCTAGGAGGCCTGGGATCCCAGCGCCGCCCGCGCCCGCGGGGGCCTGCGCGCTCCGCAGCCGGTGCCGATCGCCCATCGCCCCTCCTCGGCGGGGCGAGGCCAGGTGCCCCCCTTCTTCCCCCGGCTTCCCCCTCCCGCCCGCTCCCCTGCTCGCCGCCCGTCCGCCCGCCCGCTCCCTCCCTCAGGGGTGTAGCCCGCTGCGGAGCTGACCGCGGCCCGGTCGGCGGCCACCCCGTCCAAACTCTCCGGAAGCGGCCCGAGCACACGGGGCGCTCAGGCCGCCCCAGCGCCGGCGGACCCGCCGTTGGACCCGAGGCGGCGGCCCTCTCCTTCCGAGCCCAAACTTGGAGCATTTGACCTTTGGCTGCCGGAGGAGGCAGGCCCTCGAGTGCCTGCCTGGACAGCTGCGGCGCCTCGAGGGCATCCTGCCTGGAGTTCCAGGACCGACGGCCGCGCTCCCGGGCTCCCCCCCCCTCCCCCCGGCTTCACCCCTGGGGTCCCGCCGTGTCCCCCGCGTTGGGCGCATGCTGACGGAGACCCCGAGCCATGGGTCTGTGCGCGCGTCTCGCCCTGTGGCTCCTCTGCGGGCTCCTCCTGCACCACGGCCAGAGCCTCAGCCACATCCACAGCGAGAAGGCGGCGGCAGCCGGCCCGGCGGCCACTAGTGAGGAGTCCACTGCAGAAGGTAAGGCTGTGCCACCGAGGTGCCCCAGTGGGCAAGCTGAACTCGTTTTCTACATGTGCCGTTGGATGAGGGACTCACACAGGGCACTGCCTGTTCCCAGTAGTCCAGGGGGCTCTTCCCGTTCAGGAGACTTGGCTAATGGGTTTTTCTCTCTTGAACAACTTTCCTCATCCCTCCTCAGGATGTCTTTGTTGGCAGGGAGGAGAGGTCTGCCTTTGGGGCACCGTGGCCTTTCCGATCAGCAACCCAAAACCCCTTTTCCCAGGACTGTTTGTCAGGAGGATTGGCCAGGGCCGGGAAGTCTATTGCTGTTGGCTTTTTCCGCACTTGGCAACCCCGGGAGGTTGAGGCTACTTTGGGTTGGGCAGGGAAAGTCAGGGCTATGCCAGCTCCATCGGTGTGATCAGGTGTGCCTTCCTATTCCAACAAGTGTGGGAACCCTCGTCCCTCCCTTCCCTTAGGTAATCTGCTGGGTATTAGCTATGACACACAAGGCAATTCCTTAGATAGAATTTTTAAAAATCTATTTACCACAAGGGATTTAGATGGCCTTCCCTCAACACGGGCACCACGTAACTTCTGGGGCCACTTGTTGACCTCTGTTTCTTCTGACGGGTGAGGGTGGGGATTCTATGATATTTTTGTTCTGTCCTGGTTTTCCCTGTGTACTCATGGAGCCTTGTCAGATAGCACGAGCCTTGGTGTTTTATAGCAGAATAAAAGAGCCCTTTAAAAATGCACTTGTTTTATACAAGGATGAGAAGAAATTCTCCTTTCTTTCTATATTTCTATCATGGTGTTTTGCTCAAAGCAGTGGGCTGCAATGTGGGGATAGTTGATAGCTGGGTTCTTTCTGAGGGGGGCCAGCTCCAGGGAGAGGATGCTCAGTGGATAACCATCGATAGCAAGGAGGAGAAGGAAACAGGCTGGGAAGGTTCACGGATGCACTCAGAGGCTGACTTTGGTGGTATACCCTTTCTTAGGAAACCCCCTTTTAATTTCCTTGACTGGGTTGCGTGTGATTCCAGGTACCCCAAAGGCTGGGTTCCAAGTGAAGTTAGGGTTGCCCTCTATACAAGTGTGGCACTGTGGTGTTGCTTTGAAGATAGGCCCTTCTTGCATATTAATCCTTTTTCTCCATATGGTGTCTCCTTGGCCCCTGAAACATAGCTCAAAGCTTGGTTCTTTTTTAAAATTTTTTTATAAAATATATTTTTATTGATTTTTTACAGATAGGAAGAGAGAGGGATAGATAGTTAGAAACATTGATGAGAGAGATTCATCGATCAGCTGCCTCTTGCACACCCCCCACTGGGGATGGGCCCGCAACCAAGGTACATGCCCTTGAATGGAATCGAACCTGGGACCCTTCAGTCCGCAGGCCCACACTCTATCTCTGAACCAAACCGGTTTTGGCCCAAAGCTTCGTTCTGATTGGGCTAAAAAAGGAACGACTGGTAGGCAGATGTAGGTCAAACTGTGAAGTAGCTCTAAGGAACATCTCTGCTGTTCCAGTGACATCCCTGTTTATAACTGATATGTTCTTTTTTAACCCTAAAATATGAGTGCTTAACATAAAACGGATATTTTGGGGAGTGGGGAGAAGGTGTTTTATAGGTTAGACCAGTGGTTGGCAAACTGCAGCTCGAGAGCCACATGTGGCTCTTTGGCCCCTTAGTTTTCAGCAAAGGCCAGCTTAAGAGTACACTAATTAAGTTAATAACAATGTACCTACCTATATAGTTTAAGTTAAAAAAGTTTGGCTCTCAAAAAGAAATTTCAGTCGTTGTACTGTTGCTATTTGGCTCTGTTGACTAATGAGTTTGCCAGCCATTGGGTTAGACACAAGCTAACGGGATGAAATTTTGAATTCTAGGTATTAGCTAGCTGCCTGGAATATGTTGTATTTGTTTGTGAAGGGGGGTGATAAGTGAGAGACATTCCAGCATCCTTCAGAACCACCCGCAAATTGAGGTTATGGAGACAATCTTTCACACAACATATTTCAGAAGCCTTCATGTGTTGATTATACCACCTAGGCCTCTCTTTTGGTTTTCCTCTCAATTCAGAAGTTAGTTTCTGCTGTCACAATAATACTGAATTGTAGGGAGGGAAGTCTCAGAGACACTAGGTGTTGGGAATGGCTATGGTTTGTGGGAACTTGGAGGCCCCAGCACTATTGTTTCGGCAGGTTGTCCCGTTGGGCCTGTCTGGAAGTTTGTCTCTGATTCAGACAGGAACTAAGTTTTGCAAAGAATTGGTTTGTGGAATGGGTTCAGCTAGGGGATTTGGGGAGAAGTTTTATGGGCAGCCAGGAATCTTGTAGGTTTTCCAGTTCCTTTGTATCTTTAGAACACAGGAGTTTACTTGCCCTTAAAACTGCCACTTTTCTTTTTTAAATATATTTTATTGATTTTTTTACAGAGAGGAAGAGAGAGGGATAGAGAGTTAGAAACATTGATTAGAGAGAGAATCATCGATCAGCTGTCCCCTGCACACCCCCCATTGGGGATGTACCCGCAACCAAGGTACATGCCCCGGACCGGAATCGGACCTGGGACCCTTCAGTCTACAGGCTGACGCTCTATCCATTGAGCCAAACCGGTTTCGGCAAAACTGCCACTTTTCTAAATCAGATTCAACATACCCAGTCAATTTATATGTTCTCTGAAGTTTATATTTTACAATAACACAGCTATTTTTCTTATAACAGTCTCACAATAGCCCTATTATAAAGTGGGGCAGAAACTGGGTGAAGAATCTGAATTCTGTGCTCAGTCTTATAGACAGGTTTTCTGATGCTTAAGTCCTAGACCACTTCCATCATCTCAGCCTCTGCCCTGTTAAATGAGCACTGGCAAGGCCAAGAGAATGTTGCTTTTCTCCTGGTGAATTAGTGAGGCAGGCCCTGGTGACTCTGCAGCAGAGAGTGAAGAAAAGGCCCGGCCATTTCTACTCTGGAGAGTCTTCTGCAGGGACGAGGGAATTGGAATTTTTCTCTTGTTGGATCTGTATGCCCATCTAAAGGCCTGACCCTGCAGGGAAGGCAGGTGCCCTGGTAGCAGGCCCTCTCATTGGGCCATTCCCGTCACCTCCTGGCTCTTTGATGCCTGTACCCTGAGCTAGGCTAAGTCACTTTCTTATTAAAGATCTATCCTGGCTGTGCTGCTCTGGGGCCTGGATTTCTGAAGCTGGCCTGGAACTCATGCTTGGAATCTCCCTTCAGACTCGAGGCTCACTGTCTCTAGAAACTGTTTTCTGCAGAACGTGTGTGAGGGGTCCCAGGTAAGCCTGGAGTTGTAACTGCTAGTGTTGGAGGTATGAGGACCTCTAATCAGGAACTGTGGTTTGACTCAGTGTAGCTAGAATAGAGCCTCGGAGGACAGACATCTAGGTTGTTTGTGGAGTGCAGTCTGACTTCTCAATAAACCCTGATGGAGTAGGAGGCCAGAGCCTTGCCTGCCCACCCAGCTAGTTGCTGTTGCTTCCAAGGTTATAAATGGCTTAGCCATCTTGGTAGCTATGCTAATTTTAGCTGAGGGTGGCTCCCGGAACTGGACTGGAGCCAAGGGCAGGTGGGTGGGGCTTGACTGAGGCTAATATTGGAGGCTGGGGAGAGGGTCACAGTAATCCTGGGGTAGCTAGGACATCATCTGCACCCATGCCTCAGCTTTGACAGTCACCTGTAGCTAGGTTAATTTATTTAGCAAACATTGAACAGTGCCATCTCGTGTGCTATTTAAGTGCCTGTTCTGGGCCAGGCAATATGTTTGGTGTTGAATTTAAGGCTGAACAAAACAGACAAGTTCTCTGCCCTCATAAAGTTTATTCTCTAGAGGGGAGATAGGAAATAAATACATAAATAAGTATATTATATTGTGGTAAGTGCCATGGGAGAAAATATAAACAGAGTGTGAGATGGAGAATGGAAAGACAGAGATCCAACTGAAGTAGGAAGCCAGCTAAAACCTGTTTTGCTCAGTGAATAGAGCGTCAGCCTGTGGACTGAAAGGTCCCAGGTTTGATTCCGGTCAAGGGCACGTACCTTGGTTGAGGGCACATCCCCAGTAGGGGGTGTGCAGGAGGCAGCTGATCGATGTTTCTAACTATCTCTCTCCCTCTCTGTAAGAAATCAATAAAAAAATATTTATTTATTATTATTATTTTTTAAAATATATTTTTAAAAAGTAAAGTAGGAAGCCAGTGCCTGGTAAGATACTAATAACATCAATAATAATAACAGCAAACATTTTTTAGTACTTACTAAAATAGTTTTGGACACTATTCCAAACATTTATTTTTCCAGTCATTCTGTGTGCTAGTATTAGCCTCATTTTCTAGGCGAGGAAATGTAATAATAGGTTAAGTAACTTTTGCCTGAGGTTATACAATATTAGGGAGTAGAACCAGAATTTGAACCCAGACAGTCTGATTTTTCTCCCTGCCTCCCCAAACCACTACATTATACACCTTCCCAAAACTCTGTGATAAACTTTGTAATAGAGGTTTTGTATATGCATACAGAAGGCTGTGGGAAGCCCAGAGGAACAAGTGACTAACCCTGCCTGGGCTAGCTGGGGGAGGCTTTTTAGTTTCTCCCTTAATTTTTCTTAGATCTTGGGGAGCTAAAAAGTAGTTGCCTAATTCAAAAAAGCTAAGAGGTGGAAACATCAGTTAGTTACACCCACTGTTTTTTTTTTTTTTTTTTTTTTTAATACATATGAGGAAATTGATGTCTAGAGAGGCATCAAACAGAAGTTCCACCTGAGTTATTAGAACTAGACTAAGACATTTGAGTCAGGGACCCTGACTCAATTGGTTATTCAGTACATAAGCCCGTAACTAGTGCTTACTGCTTGCTTTGCACCTTGGAAGGAACACAGGGCTACCAAAGAAATCCAAGTTAAAAAAAAACAAAAAACCCCACAAAAAAACCAAAAACAAAATAAAGAAATAAGAAAAAAATAAAGAAGTCTAAATCTGGGAATGGGGTGAAGATA